CGTCGACCGCGGCCCCCGCCTGCGCGGCGGCAGCCTGCCCCGCCGCCTTGCTCAGCATGGTCAGCAGGTCGCCCGAGGGCGCGACGTACCCCGCGCCGCCGCCCAACGCGCCCAGGCGGCCGCCCAGGCCGCGGTGCGCGCCCAGCGCCTGGCCGCCGCGCTGGAACATGGCGAGGTTGGCGGGGTAGGAGCCCGTGCCGCCAGCCGCGGCGCCACCGCCGCCCATGCGGCCGCCCAGGCCGCCGCCCAGGCCGCCCAGCTGCTGGGGGCGCCATGCTGCGCGCGCTGGGCCATGCCGTACTGCGTGTGCGCGGCATGCTGTGCCTGCTGCGCCCCGGCCATGTTCACGCGCGGGTTCTGGCCCAGGCCCATGGCCAGGCCAGGGTTCAGGCCCAGGCCGGCCATGCGCTGGTTCCCCTGGACCGGCGCGTTCATCCCGGGCATGCCAGACCTGCGGGGGTGAGTTTGAGGGGGCATGGATGCATGGGCGAGGGTATGAGAGGGAGCTAGCGCACCAAACACACGCCCGTCAGCACACAGATGGGCCGGCCTCCAGTCATGACACGCACCTGCCGCCCTGGAGCTGACCCTGAAGACCGTAGCCCGCCGTGGCGGCCCCCTGGAGGCCCTGCAAGCCCTGCATGTTGTTGGGCAAGCCACCATAGCCTGGCAACACCCCCTGGCCAGCGTGGAACTGCGCGTAGCGACCGTCCATGCCAGGCCCATTCCCGTTGTTGTTCATCATCAAAGGCTGGCAAGGGGGACCGGGATGTGGGGAGGGTACAGCATCCGATCGCGAGAGGAGCACGATCAGCTCAAGCACAACAACGTCGCCCCGACAGTTCGCATGACGGGCCCTGCAATGGTAGCCAGCATGCACCTCCGGTACCAGACCATGTCGATGGCCCTAACATCCTGCCTCACCTCATCCCTTCAGCCTCCTCTGATGCTATCCCAGGCCTTCTTGGCGCTCACAAGGTATACAAACTCGCAGCTGCCCTAGAGATCCGGCTGAAAACAATTTAACGCTGTCCTGACGAGATGAGTTTGCACAAGGAAGAATACAGTCTCCACCAGGGCTCACGAGGGGCTGTCGGTGTCTCGGACTGGGAACTCGCCAGCCTGGAGGAAAGCAGCAGGCTCGGATACAGGGCGCGCAAGCTGAGCCACCGCTGGGGCAAGCCAGCAGGTCCCCTCTACGCGATAATGAGCGATCGGGGTGACATATTCAGTACACATACCGTCCTTGACGTACCCATTTCGAAAATCTCCCTCTTGTCGACCGACCCACGTTCTTGCACAGGCTGTGAGGCGCCCGTCGCAGTCCTTACAGTTGGCCAAGAGCGGCGCACGCACATTCGATGGGCGATTCCTGGGAGGATTGGGATGATGAGGAGGCGGTGCCGGTAGTGCCCGTGCCTGGCTCCACCCTGGCGGCAGCAGACATCAACTCCAAGTTTGCGGGGGAGGACGAGGAGGAGGAAGCCCCCAAGTGGAAAGCCAATGTACCCAAGCCACAGGTGGGTTGATGTGCAAGGTGCTGGAGCGAGGATCGGATCAATAAGGGATCTGAGGAGTTTGGTTCCTCACAGCTCCATGGCAATGCAATCAGGGGTGGCTCGATAAGCACTGTGCACCGACCCCTCCACCCCCGCCAGGCCAAAGCCAAGAAGATGTCCAAGTATGACGAGAGCAAGGGACTGAGGAGCGCCGCGGATGAGGGTCCCCTCGATGATCCCATTGCAGAAAAACTGCGCCTGCAGCGGCTGGTGGAGGAGTCAGACTACCAGAATGCCATGGAGCTCTTTGGCACAGGTGATGGCGCGCAGTGCTATACCTGAGGCGCCCAGCTTCATGCATAGAGTCATGGGCATGCAGTCCACTGAGAGCCTGTTGGGGAGAGGGCTGAGCTCCCGGACGTGTATAAGTGGCGCAGGGCACAGGCCAGCCCCATTTCCTGCTCTACAATATAACTCCTAATGTACTGCCTCAAACACGTTTCTGTGCAGTGCGAGACTTGGATGGCTTCGTGCCAAAGTCTGCCAAGGATTTTGAAGAGTATGCGGCCTCTATTGTTGCCAAGTACCTGCTCCCACATGCTAGCAACTCTAACTACAAGACGCTGCTGAAGCAGCTGTTCCGGAAGGCACTCACCCCTCTCACTGCCACAGACACCAAGGACGTGGAGACATCTGTGGCTGGTATGGCATCATTGACGTTTGGGATGAGATGGGTCGCTGCTAGTGGAGTGCACGTCAATTTGCTATGCCAATGTTGACTAGGGATTGGAAGATCTTCATTCATACTTCGGCCACCGTCTGAAGGGCCAGCGTGAAGCTTCCTGCTGCCAGGTGCCTGCAGTTACCCATCCCAGCAAGCTCCAAGACAGACACTTCACGCAATTCTGTCGATCAGGTGTGCGCTCTGAGAAGCTGAAGGAGGAGAAGGCGGCAACAGCGGGGAAGAAGGCGACCAAGAAGGGATCCCTCAATGTGGGGCGGAGTGGCGGCACAGCTGGCCTGGACGACTATGTGTATGACGACGTGGGTGTGGATGAGGACTACGACTTCATGTGATGGCTTGACTTGTTGTAGAGGTGCAATTAGGCAGGCCAGGCTACTTGTGCGACGGTGAAGATTAGAGCGCGCGATGATGCAACACTCAAATTTGGCCCAGAGCTGTGCATCGGGCGGGCCAAGCAGCACGAGTGTACGCTGGGTAACAATGCGAAGCAATACAGACGTTCTGATACTATGATTCGCCATGCATGAGTCAATTCGTGTGATCTACAAGGCGCGACTTCGTACTTGAGATGTAGAGCAAGAGATGCGCGATGCCTTGCTCCATCAACTCCAGAACAGGCCGTGAAATTCTGTGAAGTTCGAAGGCCAGCACCTCCTCAACCTCCTGCATGCTCCGTGCATTGACGAAAGCAGCTATTTTATGAGCACTGCCCGTTACCAAGAGGCGGTTGTGTTCGCTGCAGCTGCGCATGCGGCATCGACCAGGCCGCCCTGCAAGCATCCTGGTAATGCCTTACTCTACTACTTCCTCAGGTACGCAGTGTTGCACAACGTGTTGACGCTGGTGCCAGAATATGGTGCATGTACCGTATAAGGGTCACTAGGCTGAGCCTTGTTCTATGCTATACCGTGCCCCACAGCCACTCAATCCTACCCACTGACTGAACCCCATTCCAGGGAGGTTCGGACTGCCAGACAGGCTGCTGCCCCAGATGCCACAGACAACCTGGTCTCCGGTCTTCGAGCTGCAGAGAAGGGCCTGGCAGACCACCCGACACGTGTCGTGGACCTGAAGACAGCTCTGGCAGTCAAGGGCATCGGCCCGAACATTGGAAAGGTCGGTTACTGTGTACTGGTGGCGATTTGCTGCCCGGGGCCCTGCTCACCTGACATCGTCCTTCTCCCACACTGCAGATTGCGGTCGATCACCTGTTTGCTGCATACCCTCCCGCGCCCCTGGATGCTGGGGAGGCTGCGGCTGTGGAGGAGGCCATGGCGTGTGCCAAGGCTCAGAGACAAGCTGCATCCAAGGCAAGCCTTATATCCCTGCAATGACACTTGGTGCCCCACCTTCCTCACTCAAAGCACCTACATCTTCTTGATTCATGGCACGTACCATTGAGATATGTTGTCGGGGGCCTCATCCACCCTGCTGCCGGGATGCCATCTGGTTACCACCCACTGCCCATGCAGAAGACTGGCAAGAAGGGCCGACCTAGCGCACTCGATGCAGCGTCGACTGAATCTTGCGAGCGTACATCGGCCCCGCCTCAGAAGAAACCTGCCAAGGAATATGTCCCTGCCATCGGCTCAGCCAATTATGCCTTCCTCATCGTCATGTATCAGGTTGGTGGCTTGCCGACCTGGTGCCAAGAAATGACACCCCAGAACCCTAGACTGAGAGGGAGAGCTTTGTGTCATAGAGGCCGGCTCCCAGTCCCCTCATTGTGGCAATGCCGGTGCCCTGAGCCCCCCATCCAGGCTGCTGTGGGGCCAGAGCAGCTGTGTGAGCTGACCAAGTCGGAGCTGATGGAGCGGGCGGAGAGGAGTGGCCTGGCGGATCGACCCATTATCGGAGACGGTGAGGGCCTAGCAGAGGGTGTCCTCGCCGGGTCCGAGGAGATGATGCTAGCCCACTCAAAGGCTGGCACTCGGGCCAAGCCTGAGCAGGTTTGCTGACGCGCTGTCAAAAATGTATGTTTTGGCGTGATTTGGATACTGCAAATCCATTCTGTCCCCTCGCCTGACATCTTCTGCAGCGGGTGCAGCTGTGGCAGGAAGGCCACACAACCGGGGAGGTGAACGAGGCCCTCAAAGAGGACCTGGCGGCGTCAACTTCTACAACGGTTGGAGCTCCTTCAACCCGCTGCTGGTGCACAAGCATGGCCTGGCTGCCACCCGGTCCAACCCCAAGCTCTGCTCCCTCACCGTCAAGGTGGGTGCCGGAGCACTTGTGTTCTCATGTGCGCCAGCGCTGGTGACCATCAGCGGGGCTGGAGGGTAGCGTGCTGGGAATGTAAGCGTGCTGTTTACCCGAGTTCATGCCGGCTGACGCCCACCCCCCAACCGTTTATGGACCCCGCCTCATCCAGGGAATGGCACTGGCTGCTCGGCTGTTTGAGGGCGCACTGCTGCGAGGGGCGGTGGCCCCGCTCCAGGGCCCCAGGGCGGATGATGCGGTGCGGCAGCACGCAGCGCAGGATGCCATGTCCCAGCTGGGCCCTGGATCATCAAGCACGGACTCCGACACGTGCAGCAGCGGGGCGGATGACCCTGCGCGCTGGCCGGTACGAGGTTCCCCCAGCCGTTTGTCACAGGCACAAGACTGCGGCGCCAGCGAGGAGCGGCCCGGCGCAGGCTGGGACTCGGTCGTCGACCTGTCCCAGATGGACGAGGACGAGGGCGTGCCGGGGTCGCAGCGCTGCCCCGCAACCCACCATCCCGGACCCTGCGCCTCGCAGCCGGAGGTGCTGAGTCAGCCGCTGGTGGAGCGCCTGGCGGCTGCCCTCGACCGCGCCAGGATGAACGGGGCCGTCGCATCGCTGCCCGTCCAGCCCGGCGCGACGACCTGCAGACCGAGCCCACCGCCTCCCCCGGCCGGTGCCTGCGTTCCAGACGCTGCCCCCCCCTCCCCACGGGCCCCAGCGCCACTCCAGGCTGCCGCCACGCTGGCGGGCGCCCCGCCGCCCCGGGCCTCCTCGCCGCCCTGTGCCGCGGGCGGCTGCGTCGCCGCCTCCGAGCGCCTGCCCCCTCTTCACCCGGGGGCCGCGTTTGAGGCTCAGTACGACATCATCTTCCTGCTGGACGCCCGCGAGGTCTTCACACGAGCCGCCGACCAGGGCCGGTCAGAGGCCCTGGCGCAACACCTGGCTCGCCTCCGCGCCATGGGCCTGGTGGTGGAGGAGCGGACGCTGCCCGCGGGGGACGGGCTCTGGATCGCGCGCTCCAAGTGAGTTGGAATGGGGGGGTCCGATGTATGGGAGGGGATGTGGGGGATGGGGAAGGGTCCCTGGCGTGGTGACGTGGTGGCGCCAGAATCGGAGCCAAGTCTTGTCCTCCGAGGCCTGACTGGATCCAGGGGTGCGGGGCCGGTATCGGCAGCGAACTGGAGTGGGTCCCTCACGTGCCAGTACCCCCTCCTTCATCCCTTTCTCCCCTCGCCCCTTTCCTCCCTCACCCCAGGGCTGATCCGACGCGGGAGTGGGTGCTGGACTACATCATGGAGAGGAAGAGCTACACAGACCTGATCCAGTCCATTCGGGGCGACAACCGCTACGAATCCCAGAAGGTGCCCATTGGGGAAGAAAGGGCGGGCCTGTAGGATACATTGGGAGCAGTTTTGATTGCAGGCAGGCGACTCGTCAAGGTAACCTCCCCTCCACAGTTTGCCCTGAAGCGATGTGGGCTGCGCCACGTCTTCTACCTGCTGGAGGGGGACCCCGACATGCTTCCCAGCCCCACGGTGAGCCAGGAGAAGGGTGGGAAAGGAGAGCACAAGGCACCTCTGGACTCGATGACAGTGCGGGATCTACCAGGGCAGGGGCCGCCCTGGGTATCGCATGTATACAGGCACACGTGCTTCCATTGCCCCGCTCCCATTGCAGGAGCAGAAGGCCGTGAAAACTGCGGCCGCCGACATGGAGATCATAGACGGCTTCCGCATCCTGCGCTCCAAGAGTGAGGAGCGGGCCCTGAGGTCGACTCGCCCTGTCATGCAACCCTGTTCATCTTGCACCCTCAATCATCCACCGCTCCATCTCCACAACCCTCACATCACCCTCCTGGGGTGCAGATCACGTCGACACGCTGCGCCTGCTGTGCACGCTGACCCACCACGTGATCGAGGCGTGCCGGGCGCGGCGCGGCGCCCCCGCCACAGCGGGGCCTCCCGCCCCTGACGTGCTGCCCACCTGGTCGGAATTCAAGAGCCGGCGCGAGGCGCTGGGGCGGGGCTCCATGAGCCTGGCCGACACCTGGCGCCTGATGCTGGCCAGCGTCCGCGGCGCGGGGCACGAGGCTGTGGCCGCCATGGTCCAGCGCCACGCCACCCCCGCCGCCATGCACGCCGCCATGCGCGCCGCACAGGCGGGGGGCGGGGCGGCGGCCGCGCGGCGGCTGCTCGCCCCCTTGGCGCCGAGGCCCGGCAGCCGCGCCGTGGGCGAGGGCTCCGCGGCCCGTATCTACGATACCCTCTTTGCCCTGGAAGACCAGGCAGCTGGGGACGGCGCCGTGCTTGCAAAGGTGGATTGGGGCATGGGCTGCGGCTGAGAGTGGAGCGCCGTGGTGACTTTTTGCGAGGGTTTTGTATGAGAGAAAGTACACCCAGGGCGAGACGAGGGGCTATACTGCTGAGCGGGCCCCCTGTTGAGTTCGGTTGCATTTTTCAGTGCATGGCCCGACGAGCAAGTCGTGAGCAGTGCGCTGAGTTATTCCGCATCGCTGGCAATGGAGCTCTGGTGCAGCGGTGGGCAGGGGGGCGCATGATGGCCGGCAGCTGGATTGCCGCAGAGCAGAGGGCCAGACCTTGCGCCGTTCGACCCTGCCATGTCCCTGGCTGAGGCACAGCGCGGCCGCCCAGGGTCCCCCCCGCCCCTACGCCTCGCCTCGGTGGTCCAGCAGGACACGCGACCGCCCCTGCTCCTTGACCACCAGGTCCAGCTGCTCGGCGGCTTCCGCGGCGGCGGAGCCGCGCTGCGCCACCACCAGCACCGAGGCCTGGGGCAGCGTGCGCAGCAGGGCCGCAACGCGGGCGCAGCCCTCCGCGTCCAGGTGCTGCATCACCTCGTCCAGCACCAGCAGGTTGCTGCAAGGGGGTCAAAGACGACAGGGTGGAATGGGATCAAGGAGAACGGGGACGGGAGAGGGGCTCTATGGCCCACTCGTTGCAACAGTCGCCCATTGCAGGCCCAGGAGGCTGGTACCAGGGCTGACGAGGAGGAGCACCATCCCGGCACCAAGCCCTCCCCCGCCTAGCATGCTTTGACCTCTGGACTGGCCATAGCCGAGCTGCCCACCTCTGGAGGAGTCCGCGGCGCTTGGCCAGGGCACTGAAGCCCAGCGCCAGGGACAGGGCCAGCCGGCGCCGCTCGCCGCCGCTCAGCTGCTTGATGCTCCGGGGCTGCAGCACCTGGCTCCCGGGCACCCGCACCTTGACACTCTACGCTTGTGGACAGAAGGAGGGGTGTGCAGGGCCGCAGGGGCGGGAAGGCTGCGCCGCACTCCGTGCAGTGCCCCTCGCAGCGCGCCAGCCAGGCCCGCAGAGCAGGAGGCCGCGTCCCGGCTCGCTCCTCCCCTGCCCCATCCACCCCAGCGCACCTTCTCCACCTGCTCCACCACCGCCTCGGGGTCGGCGCGGCCCGGCCGGCTGGGCTTCAGCTCCAGGGTCAAAGACGGCGCCAGGGCTGCCAGGAAGGTGCCCGTGGTGGCCTGGAGGTCCGCCAGCACGCCCTCCAGCAGGTAGTTGACCACGCCAGTGGGGCGCAGGGCGTCGTGCACCTGATGGAGAGGGAGAGGAAAGGGGGAATGTGAGGGTGCACATGGGTGGTGCCTGCATGTGTGCCGTCGCTCATGCGGCGGGAGTGGAGGCCGAGAATGCTTCCCCCGCCCCTCCGAGTCACTGGAAGAAGCTCCTGATCGCCAGCACGAGGTACAACAAACCACGACCCACATCCCAGCCGCCTCACCAGCTTGAGGTCTGCCAGCTGAGCTGCCAGGTCGGCGCCCCGCCCCTCCAGCTCCAGCACCCTGGCGGCCTCGGTCGCCAGCTGGGCGCGCAGCCTGCCCGCCTCAACCTCGTGGGGGTTAGCGGCGCTGGCGCTGCCCGGCGGCACGGGCTCCGCGGCGATGCAGGCCGCGGCCTGTGAGGCACTCCTTCCCAGCTGCTCCAGTAGACGCTGGGAGTCAAAGGCATGCGTATCGCGGTGGGGCTCCTCGGGTGGGGATTGGAGAGACAAAGCGTCCACATCGACGGCGCCATCATTCATGCTCTGGCCCAGCGTGGCCCGCAGGCGGTCCAGGAGGCTCCCGGCCTCGACGCCCGCGCTCTGCAGGCGCTCTCCCATCCCCTCGTGCTCCTGCAGCTCCCTTTCCAGCCGCGCGAGCCGTGTGTCTATGGCATGCCTCGCCTGCTGGGCCTCCAGCTGTGCCTGCGACCTGGCCCGATCCCGGGCGGTCTGGCGCGCCGCCAGCTCAGCATCTGCAGAGGCAGACGCCTGAGCGGCTGCTCGGGCTGCCAGCCGGGCTTGCTCTGCGGCGAGCAGCGTCTCCTCGGCCTCTGACTGCAAACAGAGCGACGCACAGAAGGCCAATAACTTTTGAAATTTTGAAGAGGTGTCCCCATCACAGAGACACTACGTATGGACATTTGACACAAATTAGATGCTTTATTGAATCTCTGAGGCCGTCCTCCGTCCTCCAGTCCCTTCCCCCATCCCATTCGGTCCTAACCTGGAGCCTGGCAAGAGTGTCTGCAGCCATGGATTTGCTGATGGGCTGGTGACACCGGTCGCACACGGGGGCCAAGGTGTCGGCTGCTGTCACAGCTGCAGGGTGCTCGACCGTGCGGCCGCCCAGTCTGCGGCTCACGATCTCCCTTCCGGCGAATTGTTGGGCAGAATGGGTGCTGCCCTTGCCATTTGCCTGAGCCGCCTGGCGCGCCAGGTCTCCGTAGTCAGACTCCCCCCACCCCTCGTGCCGCAGTACCTCCTGGAACTCTTGCAGGCGGCGCTCGCAGCCGGCCGCGACGCCCTGGCAGCTGCCCTGTGCCAGCCTGGCAGCCTCGGCCTCCGCCCTCAGTGTGTCACGTCGCTGGCGGAGCAGGTCCATCTCCGCGGCCTCCTCTGGGGCGTCAAGGGTCGGAGCCAGGGCAGACCAGGGGTCTGAGCACAGCTCCGCGCGGGCCCCCAAGAGCTCGCGCTGCAAGGCTTTGGCACATCCAGTATGGTCCGCCCATGCAGCCTGGGCAGCGTGACACAGCTCCCCCAGAGTCCAGGCGAGGTCACGCGTCTCCCGGCACCACCCCTCCCGGCGCTGGGCGACCACTTCCTCCCAGGTCTCCGCCCGTGCCGTGGCCTGTCAATGGATAAGCCATCCAGAGGCGAGGGAGAGAACTGGCTGGTAATGCACTGGGCGTGAGGGGGTGTCACCCTCCATCCAGCAGCCACACTTCATCCGCAAGAGCGCCTCCGTGGGCAAGATCAGGAGGCAGCGCTGCATACCAGACCACGCACCAACCTGTATGAGATCTTCCTGGAAACGGTCCCGGAACCCTTGTCGCACAGGCAGCTCAGTGCACACTGCAGCCAGCGCAGCTTTCCTGCGAGGTGCGATGGTATTCACCTGTACGATTGCATTTCCCATGACAGACTGCACCCCTTCCTGCACAGGTGCACAGATCAAGTATTCAAGTACACACGATCATGAGCTGTACGACTTTTGCCCGACCCTCCTCCCCTACCCAACATGCACACCTGTCGGCCAATTCTTTGTTGGCCACAGCCCTGGCCTCCTCCCAAATCGACAGGTCGACCAGCTTGCCCAGCTCCTCCTTGAAAGCCCTGTCCCCTGCCTGTTAAGTGAAGGACACGACAACGAGGCATGGCTCAGAGATAGGATCGCTGGCTTATGCAGTGAGCGTCCACAGGGGCCCAATTCCCTCGCTGCGAGTATCATGAAACAGGGCCTGCGCCTGATGCAAATGCCACCTCCCAATATCCAGCAGCCCTTCCATACCTCAAGCAAGGCATTGACTTCAGACTGGCCATAGAAGACTGTCTTGCCAAGCAGGGGAGCACCCAGCACTCGATCGATCTCAGCCTACCGTGTAGTGCGAGGGGGCGGCTTGCAGAATGAGTCAGATACTAGGGATGAGGCAGCCTCCAGGCCACAGTAGGCAATGACTTATGCCAAGACACCCATCAATGTCTCCTCTGGCAGTCCAGAACCCCCTGGCAGAGGCAATGGGACCCCTTACTCACCTGCGTCATGCGCATCTCCTGCATGGTCCGATCCACACCGTCCACCATCAGGCTGAGCTTCCCTCCACGCCTAGGGAGGTGCATGAGGGCATCGACGAGCTGTTCAAAGACAGAAGATCATGCTGGTTTCTCCACAGTGGCCCTGGTTTGGTACACTCAGTCATGCCAGCCAAACAAGGTGTCACCGCTCCTTTACAACATCTCCTCTCACACCCTGCGGAGCCACCACATCACTGAGCTGCAGCAAGTCTGCAGGGTCCGTCGGCATCGCGATGTGACCTTCTCAACACCTCTCATCCTCACCTGCGCGCCGTCCTTTCCACCACAAAGGGCAGGCCATTCACGGTGCCTTCCACGCGCACCGTGGCAGACTTGCAGGCCGAGTGAATAATGTCTGTGACGCTCAGTCCTCTTCCGGTACTTGCACCCTAGTAGGAATCGAGACAGAGGAGGGTCCTGTTTTCAGAAGGTGGCAACCTGGTCTCTCAATCCTCAGCTGTCCATGTCATTGACAATTCAAGGAAGACGGAGCCCTGACGGCCCCTATCCTTGCCACAGCAAGACTCACCTCGGATCGTGCATCCATGCCACCGGTGAGGCACCACAGGGAACTCATGGCCAGTGCAGACTTGCCGGCCCCGTTGGACTGGAATCCTGAGGCAATGAGGGGATGTGAGGCGGAGCCGGGTCGGGATGTGGTGCGGCAGGGCTCTTGAAGGCTGGCTGAGTGATAGGCTTTCGCGTTCAATGACTGGATGCACCAGATCCTCGGCTTGGCCCTCCCCTGACGGAGCTCTTTCCCTGTCCATGAACCTCGGGCAGGCATGCACCCGACTCTCCATGCCCATCCCGCCCGCCGACCTTGGCCATCGACGGAGCCGGTGAGGACCACCACACCCCGGGCGTCCAGGGGGTATGAAACCCTGTCAGCAAAGGAAAGGAAGCCCGACAGGGTGACCTGCCCAAAGGTCAACACCGTGGCTGCAGCTGAGCTGCCCTGGCTCGTCAAGAGCGCCTGGGGCAGGAACAGGGAGGTGGGGGGGGCTGGCAGCAGGCTTTGAGACATTCATCATGCCACCCCCCACTGAACCAAATACATGCTCCATTCCCTCAGTGGACGTCACCGCAGCCCACCACCCGCTGAACACACCTGCAGCAGGGAGAGGCCTCGAGCCTCCACGCCGGCCGGCATCCCCGTGGACTTTGCGTATGCGGCAAAGAGCTGGGGGGGGGTCAGGTCCTCCGAGTCCTGGATCCTGACCGGAGCCGCGGATGGGGCCGGCGCCAGGATCTCCACCTCCACCCCTGCGACGAGGCAGGCTTGGGAGGGTGGATTGTAGACCCTTCACAAACCAGCGCATGGGTAGTGACCAGTCTCTGCCTCCCGCATCAGAGCCTGGGCAGCTCTTGTCCCGGATAAAGCTCGACTCACCCTGCTGCTGCAGGGCCTCGATGGCGGCCATCCCATCGATGACCTGTGCCTCATTCAGCACCAGCCGGAGCCTGTACGGAGGGGGCGGGGTGGGGTGGGGTGGGGGGGGTTCTCTATGCAGGCTGCGCGAATGCAGCATCGTGCGCTTTTGTTCGCAGAGAGTTATGGTCAAACATGGCCCCAGCACGGGTCCATGCAAGGCAATCAACGTCCCCCACCCGCGGCCTCACCTGTCGCCACTGCGCAGATCTGCCGCGCTCTCCGGGCCCTGTGCATACGGGAAGGCGCTGGCAGAGAAGTGGCGCGGCCCGATGTCCAGCGGGATCTCCTCCCTGACGCGCCAGGTGTCGCCGTCCAGGACCAGCAGGCGCTTGCCCTGCCCCGCCTCGCCCCGGGACACTGCGCTTTGACCCAGGGGAGGGGCAGGAGATTCAAACATGGGAGCAGGCAGCGCCGCGCCCCAGGCGGCGTGCTGCCATGATGTCGGCGCGGAAGCAGCCTGAACAGGCCAGCTCACCGCACAAACGCACCCCTGCCCGGCGCCTTCCACACAGCCCTCCCCCACCCACCCTGGTACGGCGACCCCACGTAGTGAATGCTCGTCCCCGGCACGGTGTGTGGCCTGTGGTAGTGGCCCGTGTACACCTCCAGGCCGCGGGGGAAGGCCGAGGGCGGCACCCCGTCCCGCGCCTGGAAGGCGTCGTTCAGCGAAGCCCCCGCCACGTCCACGTGCGCGAAGACGGCGCGGACAGCCTCGCTCTCTCCCGCACAGCGCAGCGCGGCGAGCAGCTCGCCCCGCGCGCGGCGGTAGGGCAGCCACAGAGCGCCAGCGTGCAGCATGGGATGCTCCATGACGTGGATGTGCGGGGAGCAGGCGGCCAGGGGGGTGAGCGCGTGGTCCAGGCCGCCCAGCGACACCTGGCGAGTGGGGGGTGGAGGAGGGGAGCGATGGTGCAGGTACGGGGGGTAGGTGTAGGGAGGGGAGAATCATGACTGAGAGGAGGGACCGCATCATGTCACTGTGATCCCAAGGTGCCCCCGCCCTCGAGAGCATCCACTAGCAAGCAGACCTGGTCGTGGTTTCCGACCAGCATGATGGTGGGCTGTGTCCACTGAGACAGCCGCAGCACGGCGCTGTTCAGGGTCTCCACCGGAAGGGCCCCCCTGACGTGCCAAAAATCACCTGCGTGGGTAGAGATCACACAGTGGGCTTGGGGCATGGAGACTGCCGCGGCGCAGCTGGGCTCACAGACCTCCATGTGCCATTCAGAGCGCTACAACGACCGCAGGTCAGCATCGCCGCATGGGATCTGCCCCCCAGCGTCGCCATCTGCCCATGCCTCTCCCCGCCGACCCTCACTCCCTCTTCATCACATCCCCGTACCACATCCCAACGCACCGAGGAACAGGATGCCAGCGTTCCTGGACACCGCCTCGGCATGCACGAGGTCCAGCACTCGCATGCATGTGGGTGCGGTGCTGGGGGAGAGGTGCAGATCACTGAACACCACCCACGAGTCCGGGCTCGTCCAAGTACTGGGGTCGGGGGACCAACTGGGCAGGGCCTCGGCAGTGGCGAGGCATCGAACGGCTCGAGAGATGGTGGGTCTGAGCCGGCATGGCGCACATCGACCCAGTCGGGGAACGGCGTGCATGGAGGGACCGGTCCTGAGAATGCCAGCGAAGGGAATCACCGGGGCTCCAGAACAGGCATGCGGCATTGCCAGTCCTGGGCCCAGTCTACCATCTATTGGGTCGCACCGGCGATCGTGGCGTGAGGACGACTCTTTAAGAGTGGTCCTTTGACTCTTAATCGTGAGGGCGCGCAAAACACACAAACATCAAATATTACGTAACGCGTTCCCACAATGCAGTACAACACGATGTGTACTGCTGCCATCCCCCCCCCACCAGCGGCAGTGGCGAGCGACGAGGCGGATGGGAATGCCCGAGCGACATTGCGCCCTGCGTCCCGGGCTCCATGAGGAAGGAGCATCGTTCCAGCGGGCCAGATTCCAGTGTTCCGTGGCCACCCTTGCTTGCAGATTTGGGTGCTGTCGGTGCACGCTGGGTGGTTTGGCGTTGCGAGACGGCCCCTGCCACGCTGGGCTCCAGGCCTCAGCTCCTCGCCGTCGACCTCCACCACCTGTCGCTGCCACACCGAGACTGACCTGGTGTTGGGGCGTCCCCGTCTTCGAGGTGCTGCCGCGGGAAGGCGCAGCCACCTTTCGGAAAGTGTCGGCTGTGTCGCGGCGTCCCTCCGCCGGGACCGACACGCCTGCCGGCACGACAGCCGGTGCTCCCCACGGATGGAGCCGCAGCTCTGGCCAAGTCACCTCACTCCTCCCGGCCTGCAGCTTCCTCTGTACCAACGGGAGATCCCACACCAAGCCATGAACGGCACTGCCAAACCCCCCGGCCGGTCCCGCCCAACCAACAACCAGCTCCTGTGAGTCGGGCACGCCATGCCCGCATGCTCATTGGGGGTGCACAATGCCACATGCATTGGTATGGGACGGACCATGCCCAGCTGGCTCTGGAAGGGTGCTGGGGGAATGTCCCCACCCTCATCCCCTGTATCAGAAGGGGGCAGGGGGGTGCTGTGGCCGACTGCAGCCTCGACCGACGGCCATGCATATGCTAGGCTCACACCCACCCCAGCTCCCTGCTCTGCACTCATGTCCTCCCTTCCATTTCCCCCCCCCATTCCCCCCCCGGACAGCTACAAGGCACACTTCCGCTGGAAGCACTACACCTCCCCCCTGCCGGTGACCCAGGAGCTGCCGTCCGGCACCGAGGCCTGCGCCTCGGTCACCTCCGCCTTCCTCCAGGTCCTGGCCACCATCGCCGACGTGGAGCGCGTGCGGCTGGACAAGCCCCGCAACGTATTGCACATCTTGTCCACCAACACCCGCCGTACCAAGGTCGTGGAGCTGTCCTCCGGCACCCACAGGTGCATGGTGTTGAGTGTGAGGGTGGGAAGATAATGAACCGATCCCAGGCATGCCCTGGACGCCTGGATTTGTCATAGGTGCTGCACACACCTTTCCAGGTCGGGGTGCCCTCGCCCGCCTCTCCCCGAATACCCGTCCACACGCCATGCTGACCCCCTGCCCGTCACTGCAGGGTGGCTGATGAGCTGCGCCGGCACTCGCTGTCGGACGGGGACGGCGGCCAGTACTCGACCAACCTTGACCGGAATCGGTATGGCTCAGACAACAACTACCTCTTCACAGGTGTGCAGGGTGGACGTCGAAGGAGGGATCGGTGCTGTGATTGAGTCTGGGAGAATGATTTTTTCCCTTTTGGATGCAGATCGTGTGGGGTCATCGCTCAGCAGGGGACGTTCGGGTGCTGGGCAACATCCTCAGCACACAACCAGCATCGGATTCATCTCTGGGGCTGAGGACCGAGGCTCAACCCCACCCTACCCCGCCACCCCCACCTGCAGTCACCCGCTTCAACCTGGAGTGCTTGGGCCTCTGTCCCTGCCTGGTGGACATCGAGATCATGGACACCCGAAACGGAAATGAGGTGCAGCTTGTGACCGCGGGGCACGCTGCGTGCGCCTGCGACTCGCCCGCGCGCAAGGTGGGCGGGGGGGGGTCAATTGTTGAAGGCTGGTTTTGCAGTCGGGAGGTAGTCCAAGGAGAGGGGCTCCCGGCTGAGAATGTCGTGCTGGAGCTGGAACAGAAGGCAGGGGGAAGGTCTGCACAGAGATAGCGGCGCAGCGTGCGCCACATGACGTGCCTTCTTTCAAAGGTGTAAATGGCCTCCTCAGGGTACCTGAGGTCTACTGGAA